GCGAAGGCAGAGGAGGAGGAGGAGGAGGAGGAGGAGGAGGAGGAGGAGGGGAAGGAGGAGGAGGAGGAGGAGACGGAAGAGGAGGAAGAGTACGAGGACAAGGACGAGGACAATGACCAGGACGAGGAGGAGGAGGAGGAGGAGGAACAGGAGCAGTAGGAGGAGGAGGAAGAAACAGAAGAAGAATACGAAGAATAACCATCCGAAGAAGAATAATAAGAAGAATAATACGAATAACAATAATACTAAGAAGAGGAGGAGGAGGAGGAGGATGAGGAGGAAGAGGAGGGTGATGAGAAGGAGGCGGAGGAGGAGGCGGAGGAGGAGGAGACAGGAGGAGGAGTAGGAGGAGGAGGAGCAGGAGGAGGAGGAGATGGGGAGGGAGGAGGAAGAGGGGACGGAGCTATGATGTGCGAGACGTGCTGGCTGCTTTGGTCCCGTGCGTCACCGCAGGTGTGCCTCATCACCACGGGGAGCGACCGCTTGAAGGACGAGCGCCCCGTGGGCCTGCCATTCAGGCGAGAGCCCCATGTGGAAAAGGAGGGGGGAGGAGGAGGTGGAGGAGGAGGAGGAGGTAGAGGAGGGGGAGGGGACGAGGTGGAGGAGGAGGGGGAGGTGGAGGAGGAGGTGGAGGAGGAGGAGGATGAGGAATGAGGAGGAGGGGACGGAGGAAGGATGAAAGAGGAAGGAGGAGGATGTGCGAGACGTGCTGGCTGCTTTGATTCCGTGCGTCCCTGCAGGCAGGTCCTCCTCGCCACGGGGAGCGACCGATTGAAGGACGAGCGCCCCGTGGGCCTGCCATTCAGGCGAGAGCCACAGTAGGAAAAAGGAGGAGGAGGGGGAGGAGGAACAGGAGGTTGAACAGGGGAAGGAGGAGGGGGAAGATGAGGAGGAGGAGGAGGACGACGACGACGAGGAGCAGTAGAAGGAGGACGAGGAGGAGGAACACGAGGAACGGAGCAAAAGGAGGACGAGAGTGAGGACGTGGAGGAGGAGGAGGAAAAAGGAAGGAAGAGGAGGGAGCAATGAGGAAGGAGGGGGGAGGAACAGGAGGGCTGTCAAGCTGCATGGTCGCATCGTTCGAGCAAGAGTCGAGCGAAGGCTTGAAAACGAATCGCCATCAATGCGCGTAGCTGTAGCCCACCTTGAGCCGTTGGACCATCGAACCTCAGACGTTTCGAGCGACAACCCACTTTTTGGAACCGAAACAGCTTTCATGGTTGTAGTTTCTGCCGTGCCGTATCATGATTTCCCGAGGAGGTCAGGTAGCGAAAACATGTGCTCCATCAGAGCAAATCGCGTTCATGACGAATGTGCATGGCGTTGGGGCGACAAGGACATTTCGAAAACTGAATGCCGGGCCGCCATCCACCCGTGCAAGTCCAGCACGCGTTTAGGAGTTAATGTGCGCGGCGCCAAGGCGAGAACCACACTTTTCAGGAGGGAAAAACCACACAGACAAGATTAATCGTCGATTCCCAGGCAAATATGAGAGAATATGGGAAGTGGGGGGGAAGACAGAAACCCAGAAAATATAGGACAATATGGGGAATCCTTTTATTTGTGTGTATTTATTTGTGTGTCCCAGGGCCCCTGCAACTTTGGAAGTCACTGGTCTCCCACGCGCGTGCATGTTTGAAGTTTCGTGGTTCCGGAGCACGATGCGCGAAAACTTGTCTGTTGCGAAAGGCTCAGGCGCCAGTCATACCGACACGCTGGGTGTCAGGAGGAAAAAGAATCACACAGACACAATTAATCGTCGATTCCCCAGAAAATATGGGAAAATATGGGAAGTGGGGGGATGACAAAAACCCAGAAAATATGAGCACGTATGGGGAATTATTTTATTTGTGTGTATTTATTTGTGTGTCCTTGGGCCCCTTTCACGGTGGTGTGATGATGGAGTTATTGGTAATAAATGGAGGTGGTGGATGAAGGGGTAAGAGCAGGAGGAAGAGGGAACGGATCGGGGGGACACGTGGGATGAACTGAGCAGGAGCCCGGTGGCGAGGACGGGGATAAGGGTGCGGATGAGGAGGATGATCAATGGTCTAAGCCCAAATCGCACCAACGACGTTGGAACACACACTCCCTCCAAGCTCCCTCTTCATAGGCCTTTACACCGGTCCATATCCACTGAGGGAAATGCCCCGTTTGTGGACAAGCGTGCGAATTTTCGAAGCGCGCAAAAGCACCATTCTCAGGATTTCGACGCCACGAGTTAACCTGAGTGTTGCGTTTTGACGGTCCTGATTTGCGCCAGAACACCGTTTCTGGGACTTCAACTCCGCGAGGGAACCTACTTGTTGCACCCTGACAATCCTGAGTCGTTCCGAACCACCGTTTTTGGCACGTTAACCATGAACATCGGTGGAGCCCTTTCAGAAAGATTGCGCGCGGTGCTGAGGCGAGAGCAATGTTTTGACACAGAGCCGCCGTCAATCCGTTAAACTCTTAGCGCATGTGTGACATGAATGCGCGCGGTACTACGGCGATCACCACGTTTTCAACGCGACACGACTTCAATCCGTTAAATGTCTTCAAATGTGTAAAACGAAAGCACGCGGCGTTAAGAGGAGCGCCACATGTTGAAAACCACCCTCCCTGGATCCGTCAAGTTCTTGCTCATTTGTAAGACGAGTGTGCGCGGCACCAAAACGAAAACCACCGTTTGGAAGCGACCCGCTCTCCATGTGCGAAGCTGTTGCCAGTTTTTAAGCTTCAGGCTCACAAGTGGTATGGAAGTCTCAGGGTAAACGCCCAGTCCGCCCTTCCGAGGGCCTCGGGGTGCGAAAGGGAGGAGTTATTCATAAGGAAACGGAATGGAGGAGGAGGAGGAGGAGGAGGAGGCAGAGAGCGAGCAGGACGACGTTGAGGTTGTGGATGATGATGAGGAGGATGATGATGATGATGGTGGTGATTGTGGTGGTGGTGATGTTGACGGTGTTGATACTGATGATGTTGACAACGTTGAGTGCGATGATGGTGTTGGTGTTGATGCTACTGATGACGACGACGCTAACCACGATTAGTGGTTGTGATGATGCTGTTGGCCCTGGTGCCCATATTGCTGCTGATGACGGAAATGATGATATTGGTGATGAGGAGGATGATGATGGTCACGGTGTTAATGATTATGACGATGGCGATGCTGTTGATGTTGATGTTGGTGTTGAACCTGACTACGATGTGGATGATGATGCTGTTGATGGGGATTATGTTGATGATGATGATGATGATCATGCTACTGATGATGACGATGTAATTGTGGTGTTTTGTGGTGATGATGCTGATCGCTGTGATGATGATGGCGATGATGATGGTGATGATGATGCTGATG